CAATATATAATATTATGGATTTTTTAAGTCAAAAGATTATGGCTTAGATAATTTTTGAAAGTTTGATTCAATAATTATAATTTTTTTTAAAATGTTTTCAAAAAATTTTCGGGAATTCGATAAAATTTCCTATTCGGTATTTTTTGTGTATTGTCATACTTTTGGTAATATAACTCTCTTTTCGTTTTTTTTTTATATATACAGTATTTATATTATACTAGTTCTCCTATAAATTCTTGATTCATGATCAAAAAACACTCACAAGTCACAATACCACGAATTTGGAAAAATTTTAGTTGCGAATTTATATTCTTAGATATTGATTATTTATTATCTAATAGATTAGGAAATCCATTGGACTTGGATTTTGACGTCTATTCTATTAATATATACCGTATTTTGAGGGGAATTATTATTCTAGTCATGCAACAGATTATCACCCCTTTTTCGCACCTAATGCCGGTCAAGATCCTCATAATTTTGGCCAAAATCGCCATAATTCTGGCCATGGTAATTATTTTCGGGATGCTTACCAAGGGGATTTCTTAATGTACAGTGGGGGTGTACGATATTAATGTACGAACTGGCCGGAGTTAACGTTAACGCTATCACGTGCAAGTGCATAACTCCTAAACTCGGGCCAGTTTGTACGTTAATATTTACACCCCTACTGTACGTTAAGGACGCCCGCTTACCAAGTACTGTAGGGGACCACCCCGCACCTTTACGTGCATGATTTGTTTAAATCATTGCCACACAGGTGGTTTGCAGAAAGAGTTTTTATTATTAGTAAATAAAAATATATATTTTTCCCAAGTTCAAAAGACGAAATAAAGTAAGAAATAGTTATTTCACGGGGAATCATGAATATCAATGATATTTATGCGACACGTGAAATAACTCTTTTATCTCATGGAGACTAACGTCCAGTGATGGGAAAGAGTGGAAAAGGTATAAATAAACTATAAACACACGTGAGCATGAAAAATATCATCAGAAAAATTACAGGCATGAATATATCATCAAAAAAAATCACTGGCGACCGATTAGTAAACATGAGATAATAATAAAAATATAAAATTTAAAAACAAAATATCTAAGTTAATAAAGTTATGAAAAATAAAAATACTGTCAAATCAAAGGCTATAATTTCTAATCAACTAAACATTAAATCATCAATTAAAATATTGTTTAAGGCCAGCGGACCTTAGTCGTCCAGTCAAATAAATCATACCATAAAATAATAATAACTAAAGTAAATCAATTTCGAACTGTAGTCAATTTAAAACACTGAAAATTTCAAAATTAATACTGCGCCTCAAAATTAATAATATATAAAGTCGCCCTCTACAGTACTAACCGCAAAATACGGTAGTAGATTATTCATCACAGTGACACAACACTCCCTCGTGTGTACGTATGCTTTTTTTTTTGTGCGACAACTGACAAGTAAAATACATTTTTTTTTATAACTTATTATTTATTCAGTTGCTTTTCGTATAAATATGAAAAAAAATATTAAAAATGATTGTTTTAAAAAAAAAAAAAGTCGAATTTTATTTTAAAAAAAAATTTATTCTTTATTTTCAGCACAGTTTCCTCATTTGAACTATATAGAAATGAAAACAGAGAGGAAAATTATGGCAAAGTTAGTTAATAATAAAAAATTATCTAATGTAAGGCTTGTGAAAATATGAAGGCTAAAAAGAAGGTATAAAAGTATTTTGCTTTTATTCTGTATATTTTTAATTTAATAAAAAAAAAAAATTAAATTAAATTGTATCTTCTAGTTTCTTAATTTCTTATTATTTAATAAAATAATGCCTACAAAAATATCAATCGTTTGTTATATTCACGAATGTACAGAATGCCTGATTCAAGAATTTACTGTGAAGGAGCTTACAACAGTATGTAGGGTTTATGATAACAATCCAACCGACGTTATACGTGAAAGTCAAAACCTTCATCCCCTCAGAGAAATATATTGAAACTCAGAGAAAATTTGTCGCGTGTTCAGGATGGTATTCAGTTAGGAACAATAGTTATTTTTTTATTATTCTTTGTGAATCTGAATTTAAACGATTACAAAATTACTGCTGATGGTGTTTTATCTTGTAATTGCTTTATATAATCAAGACACGCGACTTCAATTAAGATAATGCGAATCCTTATCTTTAGACATAAATAAATAAAATATTACAACTTTGAAAATAAAATAATTTTTTATTGACGAAAAAATGAAACAAAAAAGAAAAAAAAAGAGTTTATTATACATATACTAAGTATTATAAATTATTTTATATTTTTTATATTTATTAATAAGTTAATTAACCCGACCTAATAATTACGTTACATATTTATTTACGTATACATTTCTACATTTCTTTCATAAAAATATAATTAATATATCTGTGCTGTGTTACCTCCTCTCCTTCGTACTGTATACTGAAGAAAAAGTAATGGGCCAGTTTAAAATATATAAATTAAAAATAAAAAATTAATCTTTGAACACAAATAATGTTTTTCTAATGTTTTTTCATATTTGTTATTTTGATCATGAGATTTAAAATTTCTTGGTTCAGTTTATTTTACCGACAATTATTTCACTGACAGTCAACTTACCGATAGTGAATTCACCGAAAATCATTTCACCGAATCATTTGCCGACAGGATTATTTGCCGACAGGGTTATTTCACCGAAAATCAATTTTATTTTACAGTAAAGATCAATTTAATATCATCATAATCACAAGCTTTTTTTCTTTTTAATATTTAATATTCTTTATAACTAATTTTAATAATAAGGGATAATAAGAGTCTTTATCCATATTATAATTATGTTACATACATTAAGTATTTTTTATTTAGCGCTCACTTATGAAATTTCTATGATATAAAATACATTTTAAAGCACTTACTAGTATTTATAAACAATATTATTAAATAGTTGTATTAAGTGGTTATTATATTATGAAATAATATTCAATTATGAAAATACAAAAAAATCAACTAATAAATCAAAAATATTTTTTTGCAAAATTTAGAACTTGTCGGTGAAGTAACCCGTTATCGAAATGATCCTGTCAATGAGTCGATGAAATGATTCTGCCGATAAAATGATCCTAACTTGATTGTCGGTGGGACGATTTTCGGTGGAATGCGTTCCTATATTTATTATTTAAAGCAGAAACGGTTGATACAAAACCACGCACGCGTTTATTATGTAATTTAAATACATATAACCTTAAAATATCAATTTTTCAGATGACCTTCATATGATGCTAATATAAAAGGGTTCAAGCAAATCCGAATTTCCGAACTGTACTACATGGACACGTGCTTTACATTAGGTTACATGAATGATAGTCATCATGCACATCACACCAAAAAAAAAACTAAAAGCAATAAAAGTACTAAAAGTCATACGGATCTTATTAATAACATTGATCCATATAATGAGATTGAGAAAGATAAAAATAAAAATTATATTTTCAGGAAGCATTCGGATCAAAATCACATTAGTTGTTTTGCTATATTATTGATAAAATTCTTCCTGAAGTTTACGTAGAAAAACGTGCTCGTTTGTTGCGTTTAGCGTCAGTTTTCGCTTCCTTACCAGAAGATTACAAAGAAATTTTTTAACGGTAAAAAACGTATGTATTGGTAATTTTCATGTATTTAATTTGAGTTTGCGTATTTTGAACTAAAAAATCATGAAAATCTTTCCTTTTTAGATAATTTTTGATAATTCCAGTCAGAATTTTATTTCCTATTATAGTAACCGACTGACATTATCATAATTCCGGCCCTGAAAAAATGCGTACAGC